ATCCAATACCTGGTAATGGCCGACAGTGAAAAGGAGTGTGTGTGTGTATAAATAAATCACCATGCTGTACACCAGAAACTGACACAACATTGTAGATTGACTATTTCAACAAAAATAAATAAATAAAAGACATATGCACACCAGGAAAAAAAAAATTTGCAAATTAAAAGAAAACAAAAATCCCCCAAGGGACTGCAGGGTTGTTACCCCAGCAATGACCGTCTGGTTTGCGTTCAGATGTGCTTTTTGAGTAGGTGGAAATGGAGCCTGCTCGTGGGGAGGTTTTTCCAGCTTCGGGAGTGTGTGTCTGAGTGATCTGTGCTGCGACAGAGAAGGATGACAGGAGCGCGCGCGGCACAGCAGCCGCCTCCCCCACCTGCTGTCCTGTGGGCGCTCACCTTTCTGAGTGGCCTGTCTCCTCTGTAGGTAAAGGGCACGGGAGCCAACCTTCCTGAGGCCAGCCGCACCCCCGGGTCGCCCAGCTGGACTTCTTCTAAAACTTGGTTTTAGGAACCAGTTTGCCTAATTGGTTAATTGTTTGAACTTACTTTGCATTTGACTTTCCATTTGGTTGGAGACTTATTTAAATATGGCTTATTTTTGTGTAGCTGTATGATGTTAGATAATGTTGAATTATTGGCAGCAAGGCCTGGTTTTGTACATAAAGAACAAATCTTCAGAATCCTTAGAGCTTCTCCGTGAGTCTGTAAAGTCGGGGCTCTAGACCCAAGCCCTTGGCGTGCATATCTCGTTTGTAAGGGTTTCGATTCCAGCAGGGAAAGTGGCCTGTCCCCAAGGATAGGAGAATAGCGGCAGGTCAGGGGACGGGCATTTGCAGCTCTGAAGCCGTATTAAAGCTGGTGAGTGTTTATTCAGGGAAAAGACACTTAACTTTCGTCAGGCCTTCTGCAGACGTTTGGAGCCGCCAGCTGCTGTGTCGCTGTCAGTTGTGGTTTGTGGCCAAGTCGTGCAGCTTGTCGGGTGCTCGGCACCTGGGCAGTTTTTACTTAGGGATCTGTGATTCTGCTCCTGGCCACCTGGCTTTTCTTACTGTTCAGCTTTTAAATCTTTCCCTTTTCTCTGTCATTCTGTCATATTTCTCAGAGTTCTCATAAATACATAAATGTTTCTATACTGAGCTTTATTACAAATCTTTCAGAATCCATTACAGTGTTTTCTCTGGTTACTGGGGCTAAAGGGGGTGGGAGGGGATAAATAGGGAGTTTAGAATTTGCACCTCTTGGGGAGTGCTGGAAGTGTTAGCTATCTTGGCTGTGGTGGTGGTTTTCTGGGTGTACACAGCTATCAGAATTCATCAAAGTGTACATCTGAAATATGTGTAGTTTACCACAGTAAAGGTGCTAGAAATTTTTTTAAAAGTTTTCAAAGAGCCCACCGTGTCCGTGCTGCTATGGTGTGAAGCGGCGTGGGGCACGGCAGCCTGCTCTGAACATTCCCGGTCAGTAGTCCCTCGTGCCCGCCCTGACCCGGCGTGCTCCATGGCAGTAAGTCGCAGGCCCAGGGAGGAGGCCCCTCAGGAGCGGGTGCAGGGATGTGGACCAGGGCGCACACGCAGAACGGGTCCCGGCCCCGAAGCCCGGCGCCTTAGGGGTGGTGTGGGAGGACAGGGGTCCGGCACTCACCTGGCTTTATCTGCTGCTATAATGTTTTGCTGCTCTTTTTAGTTTTGTGAAACAACCAGTCAGAATCATCCCACTGTTTTTTATTTCTAGCTTAGGAAAGATGAGTGGTGGCCACTTACCCACCCTAAAGGGGAACAAAAATGTCATTGCTAATTGAACGACACAAAGAACCTGAAAGCCGTTCTGATGTGTTCTGGTTTGAATGTAACTTACATAGAAAATCAGTTATAATTATAACGTGGGTACCCATAGAATCACAGTTTAGAAAGAAACAGGCCGTTGTTAACTCCAAATACAGGAAATGCGCTGTGAACCCCCTGACGTGTTACTAACGTTTTGCTAATTTCTGTATCCATCTACGTGTGGCTTTTTATTTTTAAAAAAGCCTGTCTATTGAGGTATGCTGCGTGTACAGAAAAGTGCGTGTGTTACATATAACTCGAGTTTTCGATAGGAGCTCACCCAAGTAACCAGGGCCCAGATTAGAAAACAGAAAGTCACCAGGATACGTGGGTAGCTTTTGACTGTGTTTCACGTTTCGTGTGAGATGAGAAGTTCACTCTTAATGCAAGCACAGAGACACTGTTCTCACCTATCGGGGGCAGCAGTGTCCACTGATGGCCAGGACACGCTCACGGGCTGTCAGCAGCTGGCCTGACGCCCCGTGCCCTTGGGGCCCGAGGTTTACGGGCGGCGCTGGTGCCATGGCGGCAACGGTCGTCTGTAATTGGGAGCTTTGGGGAAAGGAGGCAGAGAGGGATGCCATGGGTGTGGCGGTGCTAGTCTGAGGTAGCGCCCGGCCGACTGTGTGTGTGTGTGAAGGGTCGCTGTGGGCGGCACTGGGGCCAGCATGGGGGCTGTGGCCCTGATTTGTGAAAAACAGAAGTAAGCCCCTCGGGACAGGGAGGGGCCCTCGGGGGAGAGGGGCCCCCATCCCCGCGTCCCATGGGGTGGTGCGCAGTGCGTGAGGACCGGCAGGTGTGCGCTGCTCTCTGGTGGAGGCGGGTTTCTCTGAGTTCTTGGGGACCGTGGAGGGCGGGCGTCTGACTGTAGGAAAAGTAAGTGTTGACATCTCACAGTGGGGCTGAAGGTAGTTTGGTTTTTTCATTTCAGTCAACATTTGAGTGTTTGCTAAATATGTGAATTAATCCTCCGACACTCAGAAGGAGATGCCGTCACCTGTTTTGTGGGCACAGGTAAAACTGGGCTCTGCGGGCCGGGAGGCCCTAGTGTCGCGTGACCGGGCTCATTCTAACGGCCGGGTAGTCTGAGGACAGGGCTGGGAGTGCAGACGTGAGAGTCAGGAGCACCCTTCCTCTCCCCCGTGACTGTCGGATACGTCATGCTGGAAACTAAGGCCTGGGGGCTCGACCTCACCTTCTCTGAGCCTGGAGCTGATCTCTCAAGTCTGATGCTGTGACAGGTGCAGGGATTTAATTGTGAGCTCTTCGTTTGTTTTATTCGTGTGGTTTGCTTATTTTAATTACCTTTTTCATGTACACTTAGCACTTTGCACGTGTGCCCCGAGTGTGTGCTGAGGGCCTTCTCTGTGTGGTCGAGGGACTGGCTGGCCCCCCGTAGGGGCAGGTTCCCCCCGGGCAAGCGCTCTGTTCTCACGGAGGTGGCATTCTCTGGCGGTGACAACAGGCAGCAGGAGGTTAACCAGAGTCGGTGGCCAGAGTGGAATGAAGATGAGGGCAGCAGTGAGGGGTGGGAGGGGCCCCTGGGCACTGAACTAAGGGAGGAATGAACAGGAGGCAGGGCAATGGGGTGGGAGCCTCTGGGCTTGGAAGGGGAGGAAGAACAGCACCCTGGGGACCTCATGGGAGGACCTTGAGCTGGGGGCTGTGCCTGAGGGCGGGGGAGACAGGCTGGCTGTCCCTCTGAGGTTTTGTATCTTTGGACGACACTGATGTTTCAGGGACACCCTGCACCCTGGCTCCTGGTGCAGACGGAATGGGGTGGGAACCTGAGTGCAGACAGACCAGGCAGGAGGTGTCATCAGAGGCCAGCGGCAGGGGAGGGCGGGCCAGGGGCGCCTCCTTGTGACAGGTCACCACGTACTGTGGGGTTAGCAGCGGCCCCGCCTGGCCTCCCCCAACCCAACGCCAGGAGTGCACCTCCCGATCCCACAGCCTGCCTCCAGACACTGCCCGGTGTCCCTGGGGGCTGAGAACCACCACCAGGAGCACGTGGGGTGCAGGTGTGGGCACTGGGGGTTTGGGGCTGTAGATACACGGCTTCTCCCACTAGTTTTTACATTGATTTTTTTTTTTGGTGTGTCTTTGTGCTTCTCTAACATGTTGTCACGTGTACAGTTTCCTGTGACTGTGTGATGATGGGGCTGTGGATGGTTCCATGACAGAGGACTCCCTGGTGCTGCCTCTTTGGGGACACATGCCCTTCCCCCCAGCCCCTGGCCACCATTTTTTTGTGATTTTGAGAGTGTTATATAGATGGAATCTTATAACACACAGGTTGTAACTTGGGGACTGGCTTTTTTCACCCAGGACGGTGCCCTGCAAAGTGGTTGTTGTACGGGTTGTTTGATCCTTTTTATTGCCGAGCTGCGTTCTGTGACGTGGACGAGGCACAGTGTCTCCCGCTGAAGGACACAGGTAGTTCCCAGGTTGGGGCTGCTAGGAATGAAGGCGCTGTGCACATTTGTGTGCAGTCCTCTGAGCACCAGTGCGCGTCTCTCCTGGGAAAGTGCCCGGGAGTGCGGTTCCCTGGTCGTGTGATACGTGTGTGTCTAGCTTCGTGGGAAACCGCGCTGACTTCCCAGGTGGCCGCACCGTTTGCCACACCACCAGCACTGCAGGAGCGAGCTCTTCCGCCACACACCCCCCCGCCCCGGTCACTTGGTGGCGTCAGACTTCCAGATCCTGCCTGTCCTCAAGGCACGCCAAGCTTTAAGTTTGCTCCGCCATCATGGTTAGTGAGGGTGAGCGTCGCTTCGTGTGTTTGTTTGACATCTTTGTGTCTTTGATGAAGTGGGTTCTCGAGTCTTTCGCACATTTTCTAAGTGGACTGTCTGTTTTCTTGCTGCTGTCTTTAAATAGATCTTCACCAGTCTGGACTTGAGTCCTTTGTGGGATATGTGATTTGTAAAAATTCTCTCCTAGAGGGTGCATAATGCAAGAAGGTAGCTTGTCTTTTCAGTGCAAAGCAGACAGTCTCATTTCTGATGTGGGTGTGTTTTGAAGGTGAAGCTGACAGCTCAGCAGGTGGTTGGAGTGAATCCTGCATTTCTGGCCGGAGCAGCTGGGTGGCTCCATTCATTGTCAGAGAGAGCACTGGGGAGGGGTCCGGTGGGGACACGGGGTCCAGAGAGCAGGAAGTGTGGCTTTTGGGGTCATGCGGGCCTGTGGGGAATTGAAGGTCATAGGCCTGGATGAGCTCAGCTGGGGAGTGGGTATGGATGGAGAGGCACAGAGGCTGTGGTCTGGCCTAGTGTGCTGGGTTGGGGGAGTGTGGGGGAGAGGGCACACAGGACTGAGAAGGAGCCCTGGGACAAGGAATAGGGGCGGGCCCCGTGCCCATCTGGTTCTGCTCCTGGCGGTGGAGTCAAGGGAGGTAGTGTCGAAACCTGCCCAGTGGCGTCTTTTCTACCCAGCTAGAGCGTGGGACCACACCTGGAGGGTGTGACCTCCACTTGCTGGACCCTGCCTGGCAGGAACCAGGTAGGGCAGGGCGGTGGGCAGAGCTGGCCACTGAGGCAGGTGCCTGGGATGGAAGTCCAGAGGTCAGCTGAGCACCAGCGGGTGGCTGGTGGTTGGGCCATTCGTATGTGCACAGGTCAGGCTCTGTTCAGCTGGATGTGGCATTGAGACTTGGAGGCCATGGTCTGTGCAGCTATTTTAAATTTTTATTCTTTGAAGGTGTTTGGCTTGCATTACTTAAAATACGTACACATCTGAGTCTTGTCAAGGAAGCTATGTTAAAGGTGAACCAGAGTGTTAAATGGTAAACCTTTTCCTCCAAAATTTATTATCTCTGGCTTTTGTTTGCTCAGTGAAAAGGGGGTTGGATTTTTTTTTTCAAGAAAAAGAATAGTCTTTCTTAAATAAGAAACAGCCACAAAACTTGTTGCTTAATGATGTAGGTATATGTGTTTATTAATTTTAAAAGGAATGATCAAATTAAGCGGTATGTGAGTCATTTTTGAGTCCAGTATACCCCCCCCCATTTGGCTGGTCTGAATGTTTCTGCTTACCGCTGTTTTTAAGTCATGACAGGCCTCATTTGTGGTTTCACTCGTTAAGTGACTTATAACACGTGAGGTGAGCTTGGCACACAAGACGAGGCCCCAGTGCATCTGGGGACATGTGAGTCCTGCGACCCGCTGGGATGGGACCTTCGCCCCCACCCGGCAGGTGGGCACTGACAGTCGGCTCTTCTCTTTCAGGTGCACGTTCCGGTTCCCGAGCACAAACATCAAGATAACGTTCA